ACCCCAGGGCAGTGCATTGTTCACAGTTCCATGGCCTCTGCATTTAGATAAGTTCTGCAAGACCAGTTTCCTCCTCACACTGTAAATTTTACATTAGGATTCATTTCGTTTATTGGTTATTACATTGCTGCTATAAAATTTTATTGTTCCCTTCATATCTGCACTATTCTTGTTAGAGTCATTCTATTACCTCCAAATTTTCATGTAACTGATAATGGAATCTTTTTCGGGTCACTATGTTTTTCACCTAGCTGTTAGAAAATTATTGAATTTTATTCATCTTTTTATTAGGCAACTTTATTAAACTCTTGCTGTGAAACAGTTTTTATTCCCTTTGGATGTAAAATCATCTAGTTTGCAAGTGATAATTTTATTTCCTTTTCTTCCATATCACTGCCTGTTATTTCTATGTAATGTCTCAGTGTCAATCTTCTAGCAAAATTCTTGTTGCCTAGGGATGGGAGAGATTTATTGTGAGCACTGAGCTTTAGGACGAGAATGGCGAGAAGAGGGCGGTGGGGCTGGTCTGGAGGCGCCTGGGGCGTCTGTCAGCCACACTTTGCCGAGCAGCTTCACCACCTCATCGTAGATGAGGAACATGATGGCCACGTCCCAGGGGACCGGCCGGGCTGGGGAAGTGCCCGTGCAGACCCATGAGGCCCTCATTCCTCAGGGTCTGCCGGACAGCCCACGTGCTCCGCATTCGAGCACCGCCAGGCCCCGCAGCCGGTCCAGACCACGCGTGGAGTTGATTCCTGCAGCTGCGCCCTCGATAGTTCCCAGCACCGTGATCAGCGGCGTCGGCGGCGTGTGGGGCCGGTCCCCTCGGCACCAGCTCTACAGGGAGGTCACGACAAAGAAGCGTGAGGCCCTGGTATGTCCCCTTCACCCCTGTCCCCGCACAATCCCCCCGACTCGGTACAAGGGGCCTCACTCAGTCCTTTGCGCTGGGGGAGGTGCGGTGGTGGGTGAGTGTCACCCACCGCGGCCTCGGGCCATGCAGGCGCCCGCGCCGCCCAGCAGCCCTTGGACGTGTTGCTGCTGGAAACCCGATGATCACCTGCGGGACGGAGCGCAGGGGCGGGAAGCTGAGGCCTCGCACGGGCCCTGGACGCCCGGGTACCGCGGCGGGTGCGGGTTCACGTGCTCGGAGGGGAAGGTGGCGCACATGGCACAGCCGCCCCAGGACGCCTGGGGGGCCGGTCCGGGTCCCCAGGCCTCACGCCCCGTGTCCCGGAGAGGCGCAAGGGGCGACGCACAGGGCGAGCCCCCACGTGCAAGTCAGCTGCCCTCTACCCTCCGTGAAGTTTTAGAAAACGTATTTTTTATGAGCGATTGGAGGGTAAGTTGGAGACATTTTGCCCCGTTAGCACTAAATACTTGGGTATTCAAGAACAAGGACTTTGTTTTACATAACATGGCCGTACAGGTATGAAGCTCAGGACATGTCATGGTACAGTATTACCGCCACCCCACAGCCCATATTCAGGTTTGGTCTGTTTTCCTGAAGTATCTGATTTTTGTCTTTTGTCCTAATGTCCTCTCTAGAGCTGTTTTCCTGGCTTAATAATACTCAGTGCCGGGTCATTGCTTGTAGCTGTGTCTTCAAATCTCCTGGAACATTTCCTTAGTTTGTTTGTTTTGTTAGCTTGTTTCCTGATTTTGACTTTTGGGGGGAGGGGGCAGGGAGAGCTATAGGTTGGTTATTTTGCACAAAATTCCTCAATTAATTTTGTCTGGCTTTCCCTCATGATCAGATTCAGGTGATGTGGTTTTGTTGCTGTTGTTTCTTTTGTTTTGTTTTGTTTTGTTTTTATTAATCCTCACCCGAGGATTTTTTTATTTTTTATTTTTTTTACAGACAGTGGGAGGAAGGGAAGGGGGAGAGGGAAACATCATTTGAGAGAGAGACATGGATTGGTTGCCTCCCGCATACCCCCTCCCCCCCACCTGGGTCAGGGATGGAACCCACCCTTGGGTGCATCTCTCGGATGATTAGTGACTTTGAGCATGTTTGCATATGTCTCTTGGCCTTCCTTATGTCCTCTTTTGAAAAGTATCTATTTAGGTCCATTGCCCATTTTTTGATCGGGTTGTTTATCTCTGGGTTTTCTTTGACTTGAGAATTGTATTATAAACCAGTATGTGGCCCTAGCCGATTAGCTCAGTGGATAGAACCTTGGCCTGTGGACTGAAGAGTCCCAGATTGCAGGCTTGATCCCCAGTAGGGGGTGTGCAGGAGGCAGCTATCAATGATTCTCTGTCATCATTGATGTTTCTATCTCTCTCTCCCTCTCCCTTACTCTCTGAAATCAATAAAAATATATTTAAAAAAAGAAAAAAGAACCCAGTATCTGGATATTAGGTGTCCATTGCTACTGAGGGTTCATTGCTTTAAGGCCCTCTCCATAGGTGCATATTGGATAAAATTTCTGGTTACTTGTTGGGGCAAGTCGTTTAAAGAGTAAATTTTCTTCCTGTGATCTCTGAAAACTAGGGAGTCAGTTTCAAAAATGAAACAATATATATGTTAGAATTCTAGGGATATCTATTCTCTATATACTATTAAATATTCTATAGTGCAGTCATTGAAGGAGAAAAATCTTGATATAGCTGGAATGGATAGGAAGGAAAGAAAACTTTATTTTTATGGGTTCTTTGAAATTCTTTTGGGATAACTTGTTCCCTCTCTGTCTCAACTTTTAAAAGTTTGATATAATTGGATCTTTGGGACATTATCCCTGAAGGATCTGAAGTTTCAAATTGCTGCAATATAGAGTTGCTGAACTTTAAATTGTTCAGGGACAGTAGGCATTCCCCAAAACAACAGAGGATTTAAATCTACACAGTATTTCAGTTGCTATCCTTTGATATTTTTAGTTAGGGAGGCAACAGTCAATACTTTAGAAAGAAATGAATTGCCCTGATGATTTTGACATAATACGTTTAACATTTTTAACGTGGATGCATTTATTCTTTCTTGCACTTAGGTAACTTTATGAAGTGCATCTTAAAACAAGATTTGGAGTTGGTGACAGGGAATTCAGGTCAGAGGACCCATTTTTCTTGGCTACTATTTTTAAACAATAGAAAAGATCAAGTCCCAGAAAACTGAGCTGATTTTTCATTCTAAAATAAATAAATAAATTGTGTCTTCTTTTTTTTTTTTTTAATCCTCGCCCAAGGATATGTTTTTATTGGTTTTTAGAGAGAGAGAAAGGAAGAAGGAGAGAGAGAGTGTGTTGCTTCCTATACACACCCAACCAGGGATCGAACCTACAACCTTTTCGTGTATGGGACAGTGCTCCCACTAACTGAGCCACCCGGCCAGGGCAAATTATGTTTTCTTTGCTAGTTTTAAGAGCAGCACAAAAAATTTTTAAAGTTTCTTTAATAAAATAATCTCTTAAAATAATATAAGACTTTTATAGAGAAATTGTTAAATATAAAATTTGGCAGAGAAATCCTTAAAAATAATGTAACAAATGAATAAGAAGTAACTACTGTGATGTAGAAAAATGAAGCTTTTAGGAAGAAAAGCAAAAACTCTGCTGCCCAAGTACCACAGAGGGCGCTAACACGGACAAGTATTCCCTGGACCTCTAAACAAGGTATCAGTGTTACTGATAGTGTGTGGACCTGCAGTGTAAGCTGCTTAGGGACTGACGACTACAACAAACACACCAACAAAAATGAAAGGACTGGCTAATAGGCTGGATGAGATACCATGGAACAGAAGTCAAAGATGCTAATGGAATGTGAGTCAAAAGAATTCTGTAATATATGAACTGTTTGAAAAATATTGTGCCCCATCTACAGTACTTTTAAAATCTGGAGAACTGGGAGACAAGTGATAACATTGATTGAAACTGAGAAACGGGGGGAAATCGTTAGTGATGAGAAAGTGGAGACTGAAGTATCAAGATAAACCATGTAATGGAGGAGTTTGTCTATGAAAGGGAGAGCATAAATAGGGTGGCAGTTAACACATGTAGCATGACAATGAAGGGAACTTTTAAGAACAAGTGTATTTGAAAATAGCCAGGAGAGAACTCGTGGGGAAAGGAAAAAGGTCGAAGGTGATAAAGGGCAACGCCATTGCAAAAGCAAGGGAAGTTTTAGTAATTATTTTTGTTAATAATGTGAAATGTCAAAATAAATAAAACCTATACAGGGGCTGTATCAGTTTTTAAACGAGGTGGGTTATTTTGTGGGACTTGTGAACTGGCTCTTAATATAATCAAGGCAAATATCTGCAATGCTTCAAACAGGATCATTATTTTTGGAACAAGTATATAGACCTCCAAACTGTTAGTTGGAAAGGACAGAGATAACGTAGACCTGGAACTTCATAGGTGTTAGTTTGAAATTCATTGATTTGTTTCTTTCAACATTCCTCCTCGTCCAGTGAAGATCATTACTGGTTTTTATTGTGCAGATGTGCTTTATTTGCCTCATTTTCTGGCTTACTTTTCTAACTTGTGCTCAATAACTTACTCAGTGCCGATTCATATTTCCACCAAAACTTTACTGAAAACCTTCTGTGTGTCAAGCATAGGATTATGAGTTGAGGTTAAGTAGTAAATGTGTTGATTCTTGTTTTCAAACTCACTCTTTTCTAAATTTTGTTGTGGAAGCATCAACTGTTTATGTAGATCATCTTGTTCTTCCTTTAGAACAATAGATCCACTCTCCTTTGATTTCTTTGGGGTAAAATTGTGTTTATTATAGTGAAGATAAGTTTGAAAGTGTTTTCCTAACTAAAAGAACATTCGACTTGATCCACCTCTTTATGTTCTCAGATGAAATGAAGAGAATAATCCTAGAGTAACTGCAGGTGCAAAGAAGGAGATGCCAGGAGAAAACCTCACCACCTGGAGCTTTTTCTTCCTGGAGGGTTTCTCTAAATACCCGAAGTTGGAGATCGTTCTCTTCGTCTTCAGCCTTGTGATGTATCTGGTCACCCTCTTGGGAAACAGCACTCTTATTTTAATCACCATCCTGGATTCCCGCCTTCAAACCCCCATGTACTTTTTCCTTGGGAACCTCTCTTTCATGGATATCTGTTACACATCTGCCTCTATTCCCACTTTGCTGGTGAACCTGCTGTCATCCCGGAAAACCATTGTCTTTTCTGGGTGTGCTGTACAGATGTATCTGTCCCTTGCCATGGGCTCCACGGAGTGCGTGCTCCTGGCCGTGATGGCGTATGACCGCTACGTGGCCATTTGCAACCCCCTGAAATACCCCCTCCTCGTGAACAGGCAGGTCTGTGTGCAGCTGGCCACCGTGTCCTGGGTGACCGGCTGCCTGACCGCCCTGCTGGAAACCGGTTTTGCTCTGCGGATGCCCCTGTGCGGGAATCTCATCGACCACTTCACCTGCGAGATCCTGGCGGTGCTGAAGTTGGCCTGCGCCAGTTCCCTGCTCATGGACATGACCATGCTGGCGGTCAGCGTGCTCCTCCTGCCCATCCCAATGCTCTTAATTTGCATCTCTTATGTCTTCATCCTGTCCACGATTCTGAGAATCAGCTCCGCAGAGGGGAGAAACAAGGCGTTTTCTACCTGCGGGGCCCACTTGACGGTGGTGGTCTTGTATTACGGGGCCGCCCTCTCCATGTACCTAAAGCCTTCTTCGTCCGGCTCCCAGCAGATAGATAAAATCATCTCTTTGCTGTATGGCGTGCTCACCCCTATGTTGAACCCCATAATTTACAGTTTAAGAAACAAGGAAGTCAAAGATGCTATGAAAAAGCTGCAGGACAAAATATCATCGCATCAAACACATGAAAGGATCTGACTGGGGTCCTTCCATGTGTACCAGGAGCTCACCCCTGGCAGGGCTCCCAGGGAAATTCTAGACCAAACACTCACCCTCAGAACGCTGACTTGATCGCTCGCTCCATAATCTTCCAGCTGTGAGATATGTGTGCGCAGAGTCATGGCCTGTGGGCAACAGTAGATTCCAGCTTGCGTTTAGTACTATTTTCTGTATTTGTGTTTCATGGCTGTGAGAGGTTTTGGGCTGCAGGCATCACACATTCGTTCCAGAAGGAAACTTGAATAAACTTAGAATCAGTGAATGTTAGAGCCAGAAGAAACTTGGACGTCTTCTCTGCCCTAAATCCTTTCTCAGATGAGGTGGGAGCATAAGGAGACAAAGAAATAACAGATGATGCGAAGGAGAAAACAGAGTCAAAGACAGATTAAGAGACTTGTTCTGGGTCACGCAGGTGCCGAACTGGAAGCGCAGCCCTCCTCCTTCTGTCTTCCTCCCTAGAGCTTGTCCTGCCAAACAGTGGTGGCTCCCTCATTCACCCTTCTTTCCCCAAACTCCTGGTTAAAACTCCCTGACTTCCTGAGTAAGGCACCTGACGCCTGCTTGATTTACCCACCCCCAACCTTGCTTTTCTAAGCACACAGATACTATGCCAGTGTACCACCCATACGCCAGTTGAGACTTTATGTGTTTGTGTGTTTTTCTTCATTGGATGATTGACTTCACAAGGGCAAGGATTCCTATAATTTTGTATTTTGGGGGTTTATAGTAGGGATTCAGTGACCTAATAAATCTATCAGCTTTACACTAGTCATTTTATTTGAGAAGTACCACTTGTGAAAATTATGAAGAAGAAACAACATGAGCAATGAGGTATATTGCTTTATAAATACCTAACAATTGCAGAGACATTTTATACTAGTTGTTTTAAGTCTTTAACTTGTATAAGAATACTGCTTGTTTAAAATGCAGAGTGGGGCCTCCATTTCCAGATCCAGTAGCTCTGGGTGGGGTCCTGACAGTGCATTTATAATAGATCCCCAAGAAGTCCTGAAAAAGGCTGTAGGATGACCATACTTTGGGAGACATTGTTTTCAGTGAAAATCAAATCCCAAAAGAAAAGTAGGATTAGTTCTTATTTTTCCTTTTTTTTCTTTTAATTTATTTTTTCTTCCTTTCTTCCTGCCTCTGTTGACACCTTCTCACTTGCCTATCTCCACTTCTAGAGCAGGGAAGAGGAGAGGGTTTTGAATAGAGAAGGTTAACTCACTTGACAAATTTCAAAATATGAAAGACCTGCTCAGCCGGTGTGACTTAGTGGTTGAACATCAACCTATGCACCAGGAGGTGATGGTTGGATTCCCAGTCAGGGCACATGCCTGGGTTGCAGGCTTGATCCCCAGTGTGGGGCGTGCAGGAGGCTGCCATCAGTGATTCTCTCTCATCACTGATGTTTCTTTCTCTCCCTCTTCCTTTATCTTTGAAATAAATAAAAATACATTTAAAAACAACCACAAAATCAAAAACAAAATATGTAAGTCCTAAGAAGGTTTAGAATTGGATGTTGAATTCTAGGTGCTTTAACTCTTAAACTATTCCCTTAGATCAGTGATAGCGAACCTTTTGAGCTCGGCGTGTCAGCATTTTGAAAAACCCTAACTTAACTCTGGTGCCGTGTCACATATAGAAATTTTTTGATATTTGCAACCATAGTAAAACAAAGACTTATATTTTTGATATTTATTTTATATATTTAAATGCCATTTAACAAAGAAAAATCAACCAAAAAAAATGAGTTCGCATGTCACCTCTGACACGCGTGTCATAGGTTCGCCATCACTGCCTTAGATCTTGGGCTCCTATATGTGCTCCTGGATGTGTAACCTACATTTAAAGAGACTAACAGTAATCACACACCAAAATTCTGGTGATGGAGCAAGGGGACAACTTGATGCCAGGTGTTGCTGCCAAGAGGTGTTTGATAGTGGGGGGTGGAGACAAGCCCCGGGTTTTGGGGGAGCAGGGGAGAGCTGACCAGGCAGCTTTCTTAGCAGCTAGAAGTAATTATTTTTCTACTTAGATACCTCAACCTTCCCAACCCAAATACCACATTCATTTCCTGGTGATTTCAGAGTCATTTTGAAGTGACATTTTATAGTAGGCTTTTATTAGAGTAGAGCTGGATTTTGTGTGAGAGTAGAACTATTTATCTGCCTCCTTGACTTGGCTATGATATGTGTGGTACCAAATATAAACAGGAATAACCAGAGTTATGGAAATAGCTGAGATCTTTACTTCAAAGAGTGAACTGGGAGGACTTGCAGGGTCTGAACACACTCTGTAATTAGCATATCAGCTTTGACACAAGGAACTGAGCCAATTGTTTCAGAATGAGACATGGACCAGACTGGGGCACTGAAAAAGATTAGAAATGACCCAGATGTCAGGAAAAGGCCCAAGATGGGACCTGGGCAGAAATCTCCCTAGCAGCAGAATAAGAGTTACAGTAGTTACTGCGATATCTAAAATAATAAAAGCATAACATGCTAATTAGACTGAACTACCTTCTGGACATCCTTCTGGACAACCTTCCGGACAAAGCTGGGGCTGCAAGGGCTGAGCCCCTTGCACGAATTTTGTGCATCGGGCCTCTAGTGTTATATAAAGTTGCTGTGAAAAACAATGAGCAAATGTAAATATAAATGTGTTTTATATAGAATAGGCAATACTAAAGTTAGTTATTTGTGAATGGAATATTCTTCCATGTGGATTAGCTTCTATCTCAGCCAGTACTAATTACAATCATTACTTTGATAGAGTCTTGGGCAAGGGATCCTTTTCTGGTATTGTTAAAAAGAGGAATATATTAGCCCTGCCAGCGTGGCTCAGTGGTTGAGCATCGACCTATGAACCAGGGGGTCACGGTTTGATTCACGGTCAGGGCACATGTCTGGGTTGCAGGCTCAATCCCCAGTGTGGGGTGTGCAGGAGGCAGCTGATCAATGATTCTCTCTCATCTTTGATGTTTTTCTCTCTCTCCCTCTCCCTTCCTCTCTGAAATCAATAAAAAAAATATTTTTTAAAAAAGAGGAATATATTTGACAGAGAAGGTAAAACCACCTCTGACACAGCCAATTCCTGAATGAATGATTACATGACCAGATTTATGCTTTAGGAAAATCTGATCATGTTAAAATCCTTTAGTGGCTTTTTATTACCCTGAAGTCCAAGTCTTTAAAATAACATGCAAGGACTTTTATAATCTTATTGCTCACCATTTATATATTTTTTTACTCTAGGAACACAAGATTTCTTTTAGTTCTATAAAGATGTTGTGCTCTGTCTTGCTGGTTCTTTTATTAAGAGCATATATCACAATTTGTAATCATAGTAATTTGTGGGTTTACTTGTTTAATGTAGCTCACTAGTTTGTGGGCTCATTGAGGCCAGGACTGTATCAATTTCATTTACCACTGTCTCCCCACGGCTTAGCTCAAGGTCTGGCACAGAAAGGACATTCGGTGCATACTGTTGTGAAGGACCAAGTGCTCATCCATCATCTGCTGAATAAAAATACTCATGTAATAAACTTTTGATGGCTATTCAATTAGTACTTGACCATTCCTATGGTGAGAGAGTTGAAGATGTCAAAGGTGACTTTTAAATGCCAAAGAAGGCTGATAGTGTCATTAATTGACACAGGTATTACTTGAAAAGGACCAAGTTTGGGGGTTGAAGGGTAAATCATGAGTTGTGTTGTAGACAAGTTGAACTTATCATGCCTTTGAGATATATAAGTAGAAATACCAAGGAGTCAGTTGGATTTGCTAGTTTGGAATTAATAAGAAAGATCAGGCTGGAGATAGAAACTTGTGACATATTTGCATATGTTGAATCATTTAAGTAATGAACATGGTTGGCATTAAGTAGAGAGTGAGAATAGAGTGAGGGAATTACCCAAGATGAAACCATCAATCAGAAAAAGCCAATAAAGGGGTATCGAAAAGGAGCAACCTCTAAAGAAGGGAGAGAGCGAAAGTCAGGAGACAGATTCCAGTCGAGGTCAAGATGAAGTAAACCCACACCTTCCTGTTTCGCCCACTGAATGCAATGAAAAACTCTAGCTAGAAGGCAAGGAGCAGCTCTCTGAGGATCCTGAAAACTAAGGGGTAGCAGGTAGATGGGGGAAGGAAACTAGAATGCAAGGTACCAACAAACTCTTGATGAATTTTCTGTGTTTCTTCCCCCTCTCCCCAATATTTCTTGGCCTGGACTCAAGAGCACCCTGAAACGCAAACCTATACACTAGGTTCAGACAGAAAGACAGACACAAAGAGCTCCAAGGGAAGTGCTCTGATGGTCTAAAAAGAGAGAAAGGCATCATAAAGAGTGAGGTAAATTCCCTGATTTTTTTTTCCTATTATCACTTGCTGAACCTCCTACACAATCCTGTGGGGACATTGGCAGCACCAGCAGTGGTGGCTGGGCCGGCACCTACAATTATTAGGCAAGAGGACCCTTCTCCTGACCAGAGGAACTGTGGTTCCCAGAGCACTGGAGGAGTCTCTACTGCCTTTTCTTTATCCTCTTAGCATGTGGTACCTGAGGCAGAGACTATCACCCTCCAGAACCGTGAGAAATAAGTTCCTGTTGTTTTAGCCACCCAGTCTGTGGATTCTTTTATAGCAGCTGGAGCAGACCAATACCTGGCCCCTTCCTTCTTCCATCTCCCAAGCCAGCAAAGATGAGTCAAGTCTTTCTCACATCACATCACTCTGACCCTGCTTCTGTCCCATCTCTTTCTCTAACTCTCTCTTCTCTCTCCTCTTCCACTTTTAAGGACCCTTGTGATTACACTGGCCAAGACAGATAATCTCTCGATTTTAAGGTCAGCTGATTAGCTACCTTAATTTCATCTGTAACTTTAATCCCTTTGCTATATAATCCTATATAATAAAAGCCTAATATGCTAAGTGTCTGGTCATCTGGTAGTTCGTTCAACCAATCAAAGCATAATATGCTAATGATATGCTAAGGCCGC